TTATGACATCATAGACATGTCATAGGGCAGCTTTATTATGTATTGTTTTGAAACACATTAGAAACTGGATCTCGTACTTTATACCCATAATCCTAGCACTCATCTAGGATAAAATTGGAGGAATCCTGTGACTTTCTATTATAATAAAAATTAAAATTTAAAAAGAAAATCAGTAGTGGGTCTAGAGATATGACTCAGCAGTTAAGAGCACCTGTTGCTCTTCCAGAACACCCATTTCCCAAAACCTAAGAAGAAGCTTCGAAATCACTTGAATTCCAATTCTGTCTCTAGTAGATCCAATATGCTTGGCCTCTGTGGGAACCTGCACTCGTGTGCAAATACTCACATGCAATCACATGCATTTACAAATATTTTAAAACAATAAAATTTTTAATATATTCTAAAAGTCCCTAGCCTCAAAATAAGAGAAAAACTTTGCTTTTTACTCTGAGTTAAAACAACTGTCCTAGTTCCCTGTTTCATTTCCTTATCCATAAAACTAAGTGTTCGGGAGAGACCAGGATGTTGAGCAATCCCACTCAAGACCCACCCACTGCCAGTCTTTGAAGCTCTCTGTGTGATGTGAATGAATAACAAGGATGGAAAAGCAATGCATTAAATGGTCACTTAGATAACAGCAAAACTCTGGTTTTATAATTCCTGTAGCCATAGTATCACTGGCTACAGATAGTAAAGTCTCAGGACTTACAGGTTCCCAAAATGCAGAGACTGTAATCAAAGACTTGCTACTCAAAATTAAAAAGAGTTTCTCATCTGAACTCTCTAAATCTGTATATCATAAGCAACGTAAAACAAGAACCACTTGTACATAATTATTTGAGTGCAATATATGTTTAAAGAAATAATGTCAATGACTTACGTCTGAGAAACAAACCATTAGAAAGTGGGTTTCTTCAGAAGACATACTGCTGGGAGAAAACTACCCACCGTTAACTGTCACCTGCTCAAATCTTTCTTTTTGTTCTATCGTGACGCTGGGTAAAGAAGGTATAACTCTTCCTGTGACCGATATATAATCAGAAACCCTATACTCAAAGTTAGTGTTGTAACTTTTGATTTTTGAGTAAGTGGGCTCAATAAACTAAGTGGCAATAAACTTTCTAAATTTTAACCCATTGTATTAAAAACAGTTTATTGAGATATATGAGAAAGGATGGCTGATTCGTAGAAGAATAAAGTGGAACATCTACTGGCACTGATTTTTCTCAAGATTAAATCTGCAATATCCTGAAACAATTTTGAAATATTTCACTACAAATTTTGCTAGTTTTTTAAAAGCTAAACAAATTTTATAACAATCAACAGATCATTTCCCCTTCACTTTAGTTTTTATTTAATTTTAAGCAATAGAAGATATATACAAATGCTATATTTTTAAGAATAAATTTTAATAATGCCACCAGCATTGTGATCCAAAAATCATCCATGTAGATGCTCAAATAAATATTAAGTTATAAAGTAAACACAATTGGAGCCCTTATTCTTACATTCTATTGTATTTTCGATGCACTTTTAAATCCTTGGGGCAGAAAAATGTTCTCCTTTTTTTAGCCAGCCTAGTAATAGCAAGAAAGACATGTGCAGGTGACAGCTAATAGCTAACACTGATGAATGTAGGTGTAGCCAACAAAGAATCCACTGGTTGTGCGGAATTTCTGCAAGCATAGCTGTGTTTAAGGACTATTTGAAAAATATATATATATAATATACAGAAAGACATTATGAAAGGGAAATGTATGATTTTCAGTAGAATGTGGATGCCTATATCATCCTTGCATCTACTTCTGGCTTTATGGGTCTGTTATTCATATTATATCTTTACATTTCACATGTATTTCAGTGTTTGATGTTTCCTGTATGAATGGCAACCTAAGCTTCACATTTAAAAAAAAATCACAGTCACACCTTTTCTTGCATCATAGAAATTATGACAGAGGAATAATAGTGTGGTGGTCAGAACAGTGAAGATGTTTTAAAACATGCTCTATGCAGCACAGGACAACAATTTCCCTTCTCATTAGCTCAACCACCTACCAGTTTGTTTTACGGTATAACCTTGAAATCAATCAGAAATGTGTGCAGTGCTTTCAAAGAATGTTAGACAGTAAAAGTAAGACTTGGAAAGTTTGAAAATACAGGCAATACATACCAGAGGTTTTATAATAATGGTTAGGGATAGGTTAATAATTGAAAACCAACCAAAAGTTTTATGGGGTTAGAGATGTAGCTCAGTTACTCGTGTTTATAGAGCATGAACAAAGCCATGAATTCAATCACCAGCACTATATAAACTGGACGTGATGGCCTATGCCTGTAATCCCAGCACCCAGCAAGTAGAAGCAGGTGTATCAGAAGTTTTCATGGTCATCCTCAACTGCATAAGGAGCTCGAGGCCAGCTTGATCCAGGTGGGAGCCTGGCCCCTCAAATAAAGGAGTTCTCAGTCACAAAATTGCAAGACATTTTATGAAATGCTATATATTTTAGCATCAGAATGACAACCCTCTTTTGTGACTCAACTTTTAATAGTAACCAGATGTAGAACTTGACAGTTCCTCTCTCACCTTTTCAGATCATCTCTCCTACCACTTGCTCCAAATTCTGCTGTCTTCCTGCCAGATTTAGTACATTGTGTTTTGTATTTTCTTTTAAATCAGGAAAAGCATGTTAAACTGTATTTAGTATTTCATGAATTATTGTGCATAAGATAAAATCATTACAGGGGTACTACTTTAGAGAAGGGCCAAAGGTGATAAAGTCTCAAGAGGATACACATGGAAAAGGCATGGAACATGTTGAGGAGGAGCACAGGCAAGAGTCAAGGATTATCACTTAGAAATCAGTTAGTTATCTCTGTCATGGGGCCGAAGGTCGGCCATGCAATCACTGTACAGAGTAAAGCAAATGGACACATTTTTCTAAAGATGTCTTGTAAATTTTACATGATCTTTGGAGACTAGCAACTTTGTATTGAATCCACACTTTGCATTTGACAGTCAGCGTACAATGATGTTAATTTCTTGAGTAATGAACTCTTGTTACATGTACATAAATATGTAACTTTGTCTCCTTTGAGGTCTTGGTTACAGTAAAGATCTTTTCCTTTAAGATATTGGATTCATTCATTGGACATTCATCATGTGGAAGTCATAAGTGCTAGACTCCATCTTGAGAGGACAGTTATTTCATTAAAGTCAACCTGCCTTCCAGCGCTAATAACACAGTTGTAATGTTTTAAAATATGTCAGCTTAAGTGTATCTTCTTCCTTTAAACTTTGACCAGTTGAGATAAATGTTTTTCATTTTGGCCTTGATTGATTGTTACACACACACACAGACACACACACGATAAGAGAATACAGCTAATGAAATAAGTTGTTTGTTACATGCCTATGATTATTTAGAATTATAGTTTGAATCAGTTATACTAGAAGTAAAACTACGTTTAGTTTTAAAATTTAATTTGGTATGATTGAGTGATATCCTGGGAGATATACAAAAATTTAAAGTGACCAACATTCTGAAATTTTCTATTAAAATTGGTCATAATTGTTCATAATGGTTTCCAAATATAGTCTGTTCCTTCTTGATATCAACCCATGAACATCAAAAAAAGAGACAGTGTAAACTGTACTCTGTAGCTTAAGTTGGACATCTAAGTGACAGAGAAAAACCATCACTGAACTCAAACACACTATCTGTGCATTTAACCCAGTGGCCTCAGGCATTAAGAAATGTAAAAGGCAAAACCAAAAGCACATAGAAACTAGCACTAAGCCATGTGGTTGTTTATTTTCCCCCTTCAAGTTTTGGAATCATTTTTAACACAAATAGTAACTTGACTTAAATTCTAAATACACTCATACGTACAGGTTTCCTAGCTGGAGAGTTTCCACGCCTGGGGGAGGGGAGGTGACAATTGGTGCATTCTATCCAGCGCACGTGTAATGATAATAAAGTTGATTGGTTGAGCCTTGAAGCTCCCCCTCCCCTTTTCTCTCTTTCTATAGAGTAGTTCAGCAGGGGGTGACAGGGCTCTCCCCCATCGCCACCAGCTCTACTAACAAGACGTAGGTTGATACCATTTTTATTGTTCTGCTGGGGTGGGAAAGAAACCATATGCTTTAGCATTTTAAATGGCTACACCAAAGAGAAAATTGAACCAAACCCCCTCCCCCATCCTGCTGGACTTTGGGGTGGGTTTATTCTAAATATTCAGTGGACTTGGTTTTAGCTGAATGTCTCTCCTCCTGGACAAAGAGTCTTGAGGGGGAGAAATATTAAGGGCTTTAGAGGAGCGTTGGACTAAGTGAAATGTGGAGTGGGAAGCTTACATCTGAAACCCACCCCTCCCCTGGATACCAGGCAAAGGCAGTGAGAGTCGGAACCAGCTGATGCCTCTTCCCGTTTCCAGGGTGAAATTTTCACAGCAGCTAATTCTAAAGGGAAGAAAAATCCCTTTCCAGCAGCGGAGAAGATCCTATCACCCAACCCAAGCAATGTAACCTTTTAGGCAGGTTTTTTAGAGAAATCCGCATTTTAAAAGACAGCATTCACGGTCCAAACCACGGGCCTGGAATCAGAGCTGGTATGAAAATATGAAAAGCCTCTTTACACTCTGAGTGTTTGAAACGATCCGATGAACATAGCAAGTGTCTGCCAACGCTCAGCGGCTGCTGGTGCCGCTGCTGCCGCCGCCGTTCCTCTCAGAGGGCTGGACAGAGCTAGTCCTGATTTCAGCACCTCCGGCGCTGGACAGCTCCCTGCACGCCGCACCACCGCCTGCTTGCTTTTTTCCCACTCTCGCTTTGCATTACTGGAGATGCATCTAAATTACGTCCTGTTCAACAACAAGTAGATTTTTTTTTTTCCTGTACGGGAATTACAGTAGGCGATTCTCTCAATTAAATTGCATTTTCTTCTTTACGGACTTGGCTGTCTGGCGTATTTATCCCGATCTCCCCTCCACCCCCTTTGCAGGAACGAGTCTTTGGGAACGTGGTCCACCCAGGGATGTAAAACTGTGCTTACCGATGCATCCCATACGAAATGCTTATGTGATCGGCTCTCTACCTTCGCCATTTTGGCTCAGCAACCTAGAGAAATAGTAAGTAACAAAGGGAAAACACGGCTTTAATGCAAAGGCAGGGACATTGTGGCGAGTGTTTCTCCAGGGAACTGCATTTCAAAAGGGGAAATAGAAAATTGTTGCAGGGTGGCAAAATCGGGTTCTTCTCCTCAGCTACAGTAGCTTGGTGGAATGAATTCTAGTTGGTGTGCGATAACTAAATTCTACTCAATTCTATGTTTTATAAGTTGGTATTTCTGCAGTATAGTGTTGAAGATGTACTCTGATATCACTAATATTCTGCAAACTTTCATATAAAAATAATTGCCAACTCAACGTTTATTTTAAAGCTGGAAGGCTGTTCTGGGAGAATCTGTGACAATGCTGTTAGGAGTAGAAGGAAGACCCCAGACACTACAGCTGAACACATTGCATATCTGCATTGGACATTTTCAGTACAGGTTTTCTGAGGGTGTCCTTGGATACATGTGTATTTTTAAATCAAATTAAGTTTTCATGGAGACGTGGTTGTTTGGAACTGTAAAAGCATTCCTTAAAAGCATGTAGATTTTTGCAAAGGGAAAAAGAAATAGTTTCTGATAGAGAGAGCTGTACAGAATAGTCCAAAAGAAAAATGATGTTTTACCAAATGTATTTAGACAAAATTTTACAGAAAATTGAAATAATAACAAATAAATGTTCTGATAAAATATGATTCCTGCCCAAATTTGGCCTAGACATCACTCCTTTACTTGTTTTAATGATGCATATACCTAATAATTTTATACAGATTTTGTGGCACACTTAGTGTATTGCTTCAAACTTCTAATATAAAAATTTATGAAAAACAGCTGACTTCATTAGTTATAGTCATGTTACTGTCTAAGAAAAGAAGCCATTTGGATCAGTGGATGCTTGTACTATGTATATAAAAAATTTTAAAAGCTATAAGCTTATTTTTCAAGGTCATGGTTTTAGGGACTGATACTGGCACTATGGAAATTATCTCCACATACTTTGTTCATAAGAAAAATTTATGTGAAGATCCTAAGTATAGCATTCCATTTTCTTCTTATTCTTGGAAGCCAAACAAGTAAAATTTAATGTGGGATTACTTGACTCAGAACAAAGTTGTCAAAAGTCAGAAAGTTTCAGTTTTTCAGTAACTGTGTACCATCGCATCATGATTTGTAAATAGGTGTAGCAAGGCAAATCGTACCAAGAATCGTATGGTGAAACGATTAACCTGTACTTAGTTGGGGTGAGGGGCACAGCAAAAACCTGCTGCTTCCAATTTCACTCAAAGGAAATTTCACCTGTGAATAATGATTCCGTTGTAGTTTGGGGTCCTTGAGAAAACTTTAAGTAAATAATGGGGGCCGTAATCAAACATTTTAAACTCTAGGACTTCATCACTTCACAGTGTGAGAGAAAGGGGAGCTAGAATTAGTCATTGTAGAGCTTAAGGATATGTGAACCGAGTGTTCTGTGGTTAATTACCTGGTAACTAGAACAACTATTTATGGTATTCTTGAGTGATAGCTTAGTTTCTCTGAGTTTAGAATTTATTTTTATTCATGTCAAATTTCTCTTTCTTTTCTTTTTTCCCCCTTAACTTACAGGTCATGGAATCTTCTGGGACCCCTTCAGTAACTCTCATAGTAGGCAGTGGCCTCTCCTGCCTTGCCTTGATCACCTTGGCAGTTGTCTATGCAGCCTTATGGAGGTATGTAATGAATGAGTTGAGATGGAGAACTCGGTTTCGGTGTGTTAAAGTCTTTGTCACATATTGAAAGCAGCATTTTTTGTAACAGAATTAGAACTTCTGTAATTGAACTGGAACACAGGAACCATATTAGCTAACTTGATTCCCTTCATTTGTCTGTGGTAAAAATAGATAAATGAAACCCACATGCATACTTTTCTTCTAGCTGATGTGATGGTAGATTTCAACAAGTTCCTCGCATGTAAGCATAGCTCTCTTATGTTTCGAGTTCCTTCTCTGTGATATATTGTTTATATCCGTTGCTGTTGAACCTCAGAGCATAGGTGGTACAGTCAAAGTTCTCTCTGCAGGAATAGGATGTCAAGTTCTCAAGGGCCAGACATGATTTCAGTATGTCCTGCACAATGAGTAAACACTGCTCTGATGTTAAAAGCATTAAGAAAATTCCAGTGTTCTCTGCAAAAGGTCACATACTTTAGTGTTTGCTGTGAGTCAGATTTTGAGCAAGTTTGATAAAAGGATATCATAGAGATATGAAGGGAATTATTGGGAAATCTTCTTTCATTTTTTAAATTGTATCTATTTAATAGTCTGAGGAAATTTAATATTTTTCTGGATAATTTCTAGGTAATTGTTTAGGATGCTAGTAAAAATTGAGCTTATGAGGTTTGGTGTGTCTACTAAGGTATTGACAACATATATGTATGTACCATATGACCAAACTTTAAATGGATTTTATAATCTTAACAGTTAAAGGCGTTATAACCATTGTCATTGTTAATGTGATCTAAAATGCAATATTACATTAGTATGCAGATAATTATCTATTCTTTCCTGACTATTTGATATATTTAAAATTGCAAAAGTTGATGTGCCTACCTCAAATACTTTTATGTTTTCTTAGGGTTTTATACAATCATCTGAAAAATTAAAGATCAATTACTGTTTAATAAGGGATATTTATTTAGATTAATATTGATATTTAAATAAAACATTGTGTCCATTGTAGCTTTCGCTCTCTTGAAAGGAAAAATTAATTGTGAATCAAAGACATTAGGATTTTTTTATGCTTTGTGAAAAAAGAAAGTGTGTATACATTTAGGCCTGGGTACATAACAGAAGTTCTTCATCACTGCAATATTGTGGTACAGCAGGGAAACACTGGCAGAATGGTGAAAAAGGAAATTTGGAAAATGCCTGCTATTGGGATGACATTGTTGATAACAGAATTGTATGTTCAAAACTCAATCAGGTTGTTGTCCTGTAAAAACAAACTGACAGGCTTGAAGAATCTAACTTCCCATGAGTGAAGGACAATGCCTTTTTTAAAAACATAAAGCAATTGGCTAAGATATTAGGTAATCATAATAACATTATAATTCTTACCCCACTGGAGTCTTTAGAAGTAAATTCAATTTTCAGCAATTTCTGTTCAGGTGTCAATTCTACGTTCTGTCATGCCCCTCCCCCTCTTTCTCTTCACACACACACACACACACACACACACACACACACACACGAATAGCCAATATCAGTATATGATGTGTTTGTTGATATATCTGAATTTTTCTAAAATTCAGAAAAGACAGAACAGTCACTTACTACAATGAAATTCTAGGAATTTCTGAAAATCATCAAAGTGTCTATCAAAACCTATACTGATGTTGAGAATTACAGAAAAGAGTATCAAGAAACCACACAAATCTGGATTCCTAAGACTTAAGTGGTCATCAGTTCATTGTCTATTCATCAGAGAATTGAAATAATAATTACTACTTGAAAGAAGTGTGAAGACTCATGAGTTTCTCAATGGATCTTGGAGCAAGATCCACTCAAAGTGCTTCATAAACACCACCAAGTACTTAGACCCTAAAACATTTTGATTTAGCTGTGTGTTGGAATCTTCCTGCCTTTTTCTTTAATAAAAATATTTAGGGTTAATTTTTTTCTAGTGTTTTCTACAATGAAGTATCATGCAAATTACTTTATAGTTGATACGCCATTTTGAAACTTGTAGATGCTCCATGTCGTGCTTTCCAGATGTTTCTTCACTACTGAGACGGCTGAAAGTGTGGCTCAGAACAGGGCCTGCCTTGCATTTGTGGTCTGTTTGAGCTCAGCTCTCAGAGATATCACTTTCTATGCCATTAACACTTTTGGTTATCATGATAATGTTGATAATGTTAATAACAATAATACACTAAGCTGTTTTCTCTCCATCTAGCCATACAACTAGTTAAAACACACTGTTGCATCAAAAAGCAATCCAGCATGTCCTCTCGGTCATAATAATAATAATGATACATTAAGCTGTATTCTCTCTCTCTAGCTATACAACTAGCTAAAAGACACTGTTACATCAAAAAGCAATCCAGCTTGTTCTCTCAGTTTATTGACACAATTTTCACAAATTCACAAATTTTCTTTAAAATATAAAATGTCATATGACAGCGTGGAAAGTAGTGACAATTCTTAGCAGAATTTAAGGCAAAAATATGACTCAGTATTGTTGAGAAAAGGAGGCATCTCAATAGTGTTTGGGGCAGCCAGTTGATTGTTTATATTACTCAGTCTGGGTTTTGTTTTGTTTTTCTGTTTATAGACAGAAAATGTCACTGAAATCCTTTTGATAGTGTCAAGATGTGTGTTTGTATCATCATGGAAGCAATTAACATCAGAAAAGATTTATAGCCTTCATCCACACCAAAAAAAAGAACAAGATATTTGTTGCTCCCTTTAGCAGCCCAGTGTGTGGTTTATCATATGTTTAGATAGTCGGAATGCAGGAACAATGGTCAACAATTCTTGGAGCCCATTTTGTGCTGTCAACCTAGATTAGTCCAATTTGTGAAGAAAAATTCTCTTACATTATGAAACCTAATTTTTGTGTTTTGGTGGTTTGTTTTTTGTTTTTGTTTGTTTTGTTTTGTCTTTGTTTGTTTTGAGACAGGGTTTCTTTGTAGCTTTGGAGCCTGTCCTGGAACTCGCTCTGTAGTCCAGGCTGGCCTCAAACTCACACAGATGCATTTGTCTCTGCCTCTCAAGGGTTGGGATTGAAGGTGTGCGCCACCACCTCCTAGCTTACTGTTGTTTTTACTTTGCTTTAATTTACTTAGTGTGTGACTGCTGCCTACACACTCTTGAAAGATAAAGTGGAAATGGAAAGAACGTTGTGAGATTATAACTTTCATAAAGTTTCTCTTGATCTTTGATTTCTCTATCTGTCATTGCACAGAACATCCTATGCCTGGTATGGGATGAGGCATATGTTATAATACAAATATAACAGACTGAGGCACACATCATATACAAGGTACTTAGTGGCCATTACAGGGCACAGTTAAGCAAAATAACTGCTAAATTTTCAGGGTAAACAGCTGGTGGAACCTTTGATTCTTAACAGATTTTGCTGTTACTTACATTCTTAGTGCACTTTTAAATCATATAACAGATTATATACATATAAATTTCTTCCTAAGGGTAAAATATGGCTGTCACCAAGAGTATTCCAGTCTAATGGTAAATGATCACTTGAGATCATTTTTATACATAAGGACTTCTGCTACTTCTTTTTCTTGAAAGAGATACTCAAGGACATAAGGAATATCCTAGCTACATAAAAATGCTTGAATAGCTGCTGATGTTCAAGGCTTCACAAAAAGTAATGCATCCTTCTAGTATATAGGGGAGTTGGGACTGAACGAGCATGTGATCAAACTGGATTCTCTGAATGTGGCTGACATGGGGGCTGTCTGAGAAGCCATTGATAATTGCTTCAAAATCTGGGTGGGGTTATACTGTTGGGCCTCAGTGTTTCTATTGGTTGGTATAGATATTATCAATATATATGTACATATGTAAGAAAGTGATTATAATGATTAATGTAATTCTAAGAAAGTATATTTATCTAGGACTAAAGAAGGCATTTTTCTCATGTATGTACAACTTAGGTTCTCTCAATTATGGCATATCACAGAAAAAATAAGTCTAAAGGTTTCGTGCACATGCCATGTACTCTATAATTAGGTACCTAGGAAAAATGTATATGAAAAATGGTTTTCCATATCTTTATATGAAACCTGGGGTCAAAACTTTTTCTTTGAGTTAATTCTACTAATTATATGACATGAAATTTGTCACATTTCTTTCTCTCTCCGACTAGGTACATCCGCTCTGAGAGGTCCATAATTCTAATTAACTTCTGCCTGTCGATCATCTCATCCAATATTCTTATACTGGTTGGACAAACCCAGACACACAATAAGGTATGATTGCTAAAGCCTCCAATTCTATCTGTGCGTTTGTTTCAGCATATAGTTGGTTACTGATTTGTCTAAGTATTTATTCTAAGTAACTATTGAAATATGCGATTTTAATTATTCCTTTAGTTTCTGAATAAATGAATAACGAAATACAGCCTATTACAGTCCACAGTCAGTCTTTGTTGGCGTACAATTATTTAGTGTTCTAGACTGTATCATACTCAGAAAATGTGTTTAACATGACATCAAAGCTGTAAATCTTCAAAGCAATGAGACACCAACAACCAATATTTTTTATTTATTGTCCCAATTGTGTAGCATTCAAATGGAATTCAACATAATGTCTGTGTTTAAGTCTAATTTATTTGCATACCAATTACTAAAATGACTGTATCAATGAATTATAATCATACCATCACTGAAAACTACCTCCAAAATGGTGTATATACAATAATCACAGAGTCTACAACTATGTCTTACCCTTTTGGAAATTTTCTTTGCTGAAAGCATTGTGATACCTAAGCAACACTGTAGCTATTTAAGCATATAATCACTTTTTGTCAGAGTGGAACTATATGTCCTAGTTTTGGGAATTGACCAGTGTATATTGGTTGAATGTCCTTATTTTCTTCCATATGACTATTTTTACTGAACTGTTCTGCAGGAAACCCAGCCTCGAGTTAATTTACCCAGGCATCATTGTCTTAGAAGTAATTAAAACTAATCTTATTGCAAACACCAAAACGAATAGTTGACATTAAACACTCCAATACTTCTTTTTAAAAGCTTCTTAAATAGATACTTATAATACATGTATAAAGACTATGTCTGGTTGCCCTGCTAATTTACAACCCTAAGATTCATAATTTCCACCCAAGGAATCTATTCTGAGTGTGAATAGGGCCATGGAGGTACACCTTTCTCTTTGAACCACATTGCTCCAGGCCAGGAAACCTAAGGGAAAGCTGCTAATCCTTAAGACAAACCAAAACAACAACCTGTTAGACAGCCTAGAAAATAAAAACTAATTCCATGTTCTGGAATTTTTAATATGTTTCTCGTTTCATTTTCTTCACGAAGAGATAAAAGAATAGGAAATTTATTCAGATCTAGTACATGGCCTTGTTAGGAACAAGTAACCTAACTTCTTAGAAGAAATCGATAACAGAATGGAAATCAGAGAGACAGAAAGGAGGACCAGAGGTGAACAAGAGGCCAATTAGAACAGAAAGGAAGGAAGAAGGCACAAAAGTACCTGAGCTGAAAAGATGAAGCTGAACGTAAGTCTCAGATGAGAAGGAAAGGATTGTTGGAAGACCTGAAGGAGAAGGAAACAGAGAGAAAGAAGAGGGGGATGAGAACTCTGTTACCATGGTTTCCTTCTCTTTGCATCCTCCCTGTGTGCTGGGCTGCAGGTCCTCTTTGCTCACTTAGCCCCTAGTCTCAGTTCCTTAGCTGACTGTCTTTGAACTTCCCCATGTAAAAGAAGTGCTTCCCAGAGTCCAGAAACCAGGAACAACAAATCAAGCCAGAATCTGTTTGAGACTGAGCCCACTTTGAAGGTTTTTATACAAAATTCTTGCTTCCCATCACTTTTTACATCCTAAGTTCTAGGGTTCTGCCTCTCATTGCACTGTGGAGAGTAGTGATGTTCAGTAGGATATATGCTTTTAAAAACTGTTTCATATGATGTAACATGAAACTACTAGGCCTGGAGAGACAGCTCTGTGGTTAAGAGTACTGACTGCTCTTCCAGAGGACCCGGGTTCAATTCCCAGCACCTACATGGCAGTTCATACCTGTCTGTAACTCTAGTTCCAGGACTTCAGATGTGCATGCAGGCAAAAACTCTTTAATATTAAATAAAAAGAAACTACTAAGAGCTAGTAGAATAGATCTTTCTATTATGTTTATTACTATTAGGTTATGAACTACATCATGCCTCACCTACAGAAATACAAATCAAACCACATTCATAACTTACATTTTTACTGAATAAATTTTTAAAAGTGAAAATTAACAATTGAAATCCTTTAAAGATGTTATATATAACTCAATATACCTATAACACTACTATTTAACAGTATAATTAATATAACATTATTAGTAGAATATTTTATCACCTCAAGTCTTCATAATCTGGAGTATATTTTAATACTTAAATTGCCTCTCATTTGAACTAGCTACATTTCAATTTTTCAAAGGTGACGCATGGCTAATGATAACCATATTGTGATTGTGTAGATCCAAATGTTAGCAATCTCCGGAAGCTAGAATGTTCAAAAACAAATGAGCAAAATATTCCCCTTACATGTCCATTTTAGCCTTTGCAAGGTTTTTGTGTCCTCATTTTAAAAATAGTATCTTTTCTTGATGCTTTCAAATATTTTGAATGTCAGAGACAAGATAAGACAAGCCTTGCTTTCCTTTTCATTTCTGATTGTGAGAAATGGCTGGTGTGTGCTTATTAAAAACTAAAGAAAAGTTTTCTATGGTATGGCTTCTCCCCAGGAAACTAACTACAGAATAGGTGTCATGTGGTGTTGGAACCACAGTGGGCTTGTTCCAGATTGACTATGCTAATTTCTGCTGCTAGTTATTGATGCTTGTGGGGAGGAGTGGCTAGTAGGTGGTGATGAGCTGTGTTTTTTCTCTTATTCTACATTAATTTTGTGTTATTGGTTCTGCATTGATGTTCTTACAAGCTTAGGACTGTTAATATTAGAATTACAAGGAGATTAAAAATGGAAAAAAAATGAAATTTTATTCTAAATCATTCTAAACAATATCAGATTTCCTAGGGGGAACAATTGGGTATCTGATACATGTTTTGAGTCTAATTAAGTTGAACATATTTGATTTTATATGTGTTTTGGTATGTGACATTGTTACCATACAACATGGTAAAAATGTGTATTTTTCATATAAATATAACCTATATGAACTCAAAGGAAGTAAAATTTAAAAATAATGACTAGTAGCCAAATGTGTCTTATTTGTTTGTGGGTTATCTGTAGGACTTCTTTGCTACTATAGATGATTTGTAATTGGTCTGATTCCTATGTTTGACTTTTCTGATAAGTTTTGACTAGTGCTTAAATATTCCCCACTTGAAAAAAGTGGAAACATATGAGAAAGAGTCTTGATGAGCAAATTATTTGGGACTACTATCTTGTCTACTTTGTGTGAAAACTGGCATTTCCTGCTGCTGTCCAGCATCATGCTGAAGGGTTGAAGTGTAGTTTCTCCCGACTCTCTGTTGAAGTATAATTGACCTGATTAGCATGCTGTGCTCTCTGCCTGCTTCTGAATTGGAGTAGAAACAATCCAAAATAATCCACTGTTTAAAAGATGAGCATACTCAATATTTAAACTATAGATTCAACAGCTGGCAGTAAAATAAGGAACCAAAGGCACTATCTTATCTCCTCTTAAATGCTGTTGTAAAATTTAATTATAACTTGCTTCATTGTATTTTAAGCTTTTCTCATAAAGTATCTTGGCCCTTTGATCTCTTTATACATTTTGAAACCTCAACCAGGATATTCATATTTCACTGAAATTGACTGGTTGTGAGTTTCTATCATAAAAAAACCCTGTGAAATTGTGTAGTTTTTATAGATTATTTTTGATGTTGTCTGTTACTTTGCAGTAAGCAATGAATGTTTCAGATACAGATAAACTCAGAAAATAGTTTACTTGTTCACCAAAATTCCCCCATATTTTTTTGTTTTGTTGCAAAAGTGTGTGAATGTGCTTCGTCATTCCAAAGATTCCACAGAACTCAAGAGAATGAAGCAAAGTTGGACAAAATTATTTCTGTTAACTACTGTGGTAGTTAAGTAATGATAAGCAAACAGGAAGTTAAGTGTATTTGAAGATAGCTCAGGGTTAGCATCTTAATCTCACTACTGGGTTAAAATGAAATATCGCACACCCAGAGTGAGTAGAACAATCCTTGTTCACAAATCAGGAACAAAACTTGTTCTAGAGACTCAGGCAGAACCCAGGTCTTTTATATTTTGATACTTTGTCCATGACCTGTATGGAAATATTCTCTGAAATTGGCATAACACATTCTATAACAGAATTCTGTGGCCTTTAGTCAGCAAGACTCAATCAGAAATATACCTAATCCAATGTCTAGTACAGAATGATTGGACATAAACTTGTGGCCCTTTCTCTAACAGGTTCAGGATGCATGTCTCAGTGGAAAATTAAATATAATTCATTCAAAGGATATAAACAGAACATGGTGGCTCACACCTTTAATTCCAGCACTCAGGAGGCAGAAGGAAGAGGAACTGCTGTGAGATAGAGGCCAGCCTGTTGTATTTAGTGAGCTCCTGGACAGCTATGGGTTCTTAGATCTTGTCTCAAAAACAAACAAACAAAACTCAAAAGGAAGAAATGACTAATGGTATTAGTCAACCCATATATAATGAATTATCCATATTTTCATGAAAGGAAATTCATCACTGTACATCAGTTAACAAAATGCTAATCTCTCAGTTGAGGCCAAACTTTTGCACTGTGTTAGATAGTGAGTTTTATGTTAATTATGTACAGATAAAACTAGGTAAGAAGGACATGGAACTGCCTCCTTTGAAGTGTGGACTTCTGAAACAATACCAGTTGATCCTTATGACTTGCACATTAGTGGACCTCTACATGATTAAAGATTAAACTAACTAGTATTGCATCATATGAAAAATACCAAAGTATGATCAAATAACCTTAAGCCATTCTATTCAGTGCAAAAGATTAAAGTTTCAAAAAATACTCAAAAATGAGGGAAAAATTAAACACTAACTTTAGTCTTAGAAGACTAGTATTCAATCAAAAGTCACCATTAGCTGGGAAATAGAAACTGGTAAATTATTTTCTATGCATGATTTTCTCAATATTTAGACAGTTTGAGCTCATGAGATTTTATGTATATAGCATTGGATTGTATAATTAGCTATGTATTTTAACTGAAAAAACTGTAAAAGAGAGACAGA